AAATGTGCTATTTCATCTCTTGACTAAAATGAATGAATTGATCCAAGAAAATAAAATAGCATGTTCCACTTTTGTGTTGTTTACAAAATTTGTGGAAAATTTAAAGGAACTCAGAAAATTTTCTATTCATTTTGTAAATGTACAGAAATGTTCAGTCATGGAGGAATGTCTCCATGTTTCACTTGTAGATTCAAGAATTTAGATCACAGATTCTGCAAGGTAAAGTTAACCCAAAAACAGGTGTTTTGATACCTGTTACCATGAAACCCAGGTGCAATGAGAGCAGACGGAAACAGCTGGCAGTTGATGTTGCTGATAGCCTGGTATCCATGATACTAGAAAGACAAATAGCTGAACTGTACTTTCGACATCGAGAAAACAATGTCTCAAGACACTATAGCATTTTCCCTATCACTCATAAATTGTCTTACAATTTTAGAAAAAATTCAAATGTAAATAACTAATATGGCTTCTGTACCAGTTTTCCATAAAAGATTTGCAAATGTTGTCAAGACTAACATGCTTTTATTTAGTTATATTTTGTCTCAAGGAGGAACAGAATATATTCATTATCACATTTTCTGTTCTTTTCACTCTAACCTTCTGAAGAAAACTCAAATCTCTCAGCTTAAAATATCACAGGTCACAGCCTTTTGTGGGAACTGTCTAGTTGTCAAAGAAGTTGTTTCTCACAGACTTTAAATCTGATACCGCTTTATTCCTCCTGGACTCAACAACATATTTTTAAAGATAAAATAATGATGGCTCATGCTCTCATAAGTGCTATTATCCATACCTTTCAAGAAACCATCAATGAATTTCCTGTTGTTTTCTAGTAAAACAATATTCAGTGTCATGATTTGTGTCCACATCTTTCCACTGTAAAACTAGAAATGTTCTTTTTATTATTACAGGGGAAATAATAATAATATAAATTTATTTTATGTATATAGATATAGATACCTGTTTTTATAGCAAGATAGTGGAATTGAATAGGACATAAACTAATGAATGGTTTTGCATCTCTCAATAAAAAAAAGTTAAATGAGATTGTGAAGATGCCAAATGCTCTGAGGAGTGAAGCTAATCAGCACTAATGTTTACTAGCTAGAATTCTCCATATTCCTACTAAACCAAGAGTCTATAAACCTCAACCCTTTCTAACCATAACTGTCATTGGTGGTGTAACTTGTGATAGGATAAACAATCATTTCTTAATCAACCATTAAAATTCTTAAATTTGTAAATGTTGTAGATTCTATATTACATGTCACAAAAAATCATTCCCCCAAATTTGTGAAGATTCCCAACCTTGAGCACATTCATGTTTTTAAAGATTTATTTATTTATGCATGCAAGAACTAGGGTACAGGCCAGAGTTGTGGGGGGTGAGAGGATTCACCAGAGACAGAGTGGGGAACAGAACAGGCGGATTGACTAAACACACTGCTGAGGGGAGCAACAGGCGAGTCAGGAGAGGTCTGGCTGTGCTATGTGGGTAGCTCCTTAGTCGGAGATCAAACCCATGATGCAGTTTCTGCAGCTAGCTTCATAGATTGCATCTTAACCCCTTGCACCACTAGGGAGGCCCAAGCATGTTCATTCTTTGATAGACTTTTGGTAAATACATATTACATAGTACAAGATAATTATCAGAGGTCACCAAAATATTGAGTAATATGTATACCAGTCTTCAAGGAATATGCATTCAAGCACACACACAGTCTCAGACAGAATTTAGTAGCAAGCTTTATTTCAAATTCTGCTTAAAATAGGGCCTATGCATACATGAAGAGAAATTAAGCGATATTTGTTTGCTTATGACACACAAGGAACATGACTATTGATTAACAGTCAATAATTAGGGTTTTAAATATAGAATTCCCTAATAGTATTCAAGTAGAGAGCTAATGTTATTAAAGGAGCAAAAACATTCTGAGATTTTTTTTATGAATTGTAAAGCAAATATTCTAATTATTTCTTTGTCTACATCTATTTTGTCAGCTTTACAAAATTAGATAAAGTGGGCAATAATTTTCCTCTAACCACTGAAGTTGCTGAAGTTGAAATAGTTTGTATTTTTAAACTTATTTATATAATAGTTACTTTGCTTTGTACAACGACATTTCTTTGCAAGTTAAAAATATATGAAAAAGGGAGGGTATTATATCAATGTATTGAAAGTATACTTTAAAAATACAGATAAAATGTAAAAAATAAAAAGAAATGTATACACATCATCAGCCTTCCCTTCAACAAATTTCTGTAGAAAATCAACTCATGCAACCAGTACACAGGTCAAGAAAGAGGATAATATTAACAATATTAACAATAATGAAGTCCCTTCATGTACCTTTTAAGTCATTTTCCCACAAAGGGAATTACTGTCCTAATTTTTTACATTAGGATAATTGTGCACTTTTTGACTTGAATCCTGCATTATATTCTCTTCTGTGGTGGCTGCTTTCTCTTTATAGTATATATCCAGCAGTATCTTGCTCTTCCTCATTATTGTGTAGTATTCCATTATATGGATATAATACAAATTGTGTATCCATTATAATGTTTATGGACATTTGGTTGATTTCAGATTTTGAGTCTTATGAATTGTGCTGCTATAATCATTCTTGTGTATGTTTGGGCTGAAAATTTATCTACATATTTTTTTCAAACAAGATAAGCTATTTTGAGATTGTCTGTTTCAATATTATTCTTGTGATATCCATCTACATAGTTGTTTATAGTAGTTATTCATTCATTCCCCATACCTTGTAATGCTGGAGTACTGTGTATTGATATTTACACTTTCTTGCTGACTTCCCTGGGGTTGTACATTTTTCTGACTTAGGTTGAATTTGCCTGGAATGATGTTTGCCCCAGAGAATGACTGTTAATAGCCTACTTATTCTTTGCCTCTTTACTGCTATCCTGAAATAGCTCCCTTAGTCAGTTCTTCAAGACTTGGCAATCAATGCTTAGTGGCCCAGAACAATGAATTATTACTGCTTTCATCATGTGAAAACCAGAGAAAATATTCCCTCTATACAAGGAGTTAAAATCTTCTAGCATTTTTAAATTAAGTAGCCATTGACTTTATGGTTATTTTATTTCTTTTCTTTTTGGAATCCTTTATAATTAGGCAAAGTCAATGCCTAATTTACTAAAACCTTTACTTTTTATTACTCTTTTATCTCCCAGTGTAGATTACCTTCTCGTGTGTTTCTAGAAACTTAAAGAAGTTATGGGGGCAAAACTTGCTTAGACTTTTCAGAAGAAAAGTTTGTGTAAAACTGGGGAAGGAATTACTGAGCTCCATTGTTCCCATCAGGAACCTCAGGTATTCTCATCAGCACATTACATGCTGGATGGTTCTTTAGATGTTGTTAACTTTTAAATAATCAGCCATGTAATATATTTTGTCTTATCCTGATGTTTAGTCACGGACACTATGTTAAATAATACTGTTATTTCAGTAAAATACTACTGGCATTTTGAGTTTTAATTTCCCTGCTATTAGTATAGTAGGAATTTAAATTTTTGCAAATACCAGTAAAATGGATGTATTAATAATATTAAAAATGCACACAGATTTATTATCTCAATATCTGCCCTCTATTATTTTGTAGAATAGGTTGAAAACATAAACTGCAACTTGTTTTTATGTTTTTAACTTTATCATCTTTTTCCCAAATATATTTTTTTCCAGAAAATGCCTATTGAAGTGATAGCTCATAATTCTGAAAGCAAAAAATAGTAAATAGGAAGGACATTTATGAATAATGAATTACTACAGAATTATTCTTGAGGCTATCATGTGAATGTTCTGTGAAAAATTGTTCCAGTCGGAGTCAGAGACAAGGGGCAACCTAATCCAAGACTATTAGAATAATGGTCAAGACTACTGCAATAGAAGAGAGATTGAATATTGCAATATGGCAGAGAAATTGAATTCAACTCCTCTTAAAATATAAAAGCCAGAGAATGTTTAAGGGAGGGAATAGGATAATGGAAAAATACTGGAGGACATTAGGAATTGAGTTTAGGATGCATGATTAGGCCATATGTGTTGGGTAAGCTTGCTTATATAAGTTAGGATCAAATCCTCCCACAGAGACTGGAATATGGGACCCTGTCATTCTTGATAATTGTATTGCAAAGGTATGACTTCCAGATCCTTGAGAAGAGCATTATTGGGTCATAGAAGATTTACACCTCAATAGTTAGAGAGGAAATTTAGAATGACAAACTTTCTAAAGTAAATGCTCTCAGAAAAGGAAGGTCAGGCACCAAAGTTGGGATGAAATTTACCTAAAGTTTAGTCAAGTTCAGAGTAGTGGTAGAGCCCTCTTTGTAATAATAAGCATTTGTTTTCATGCAAAGAGTTATGTGTAAAATTATCTTTGCATTTTATATATAGGAATATATTTCCCTAAAACAAACAAACCTTATACTTACTTGTGGCTTAAATATAGGAATTGACCTTTACTCTGATTCTTGCTTAGGCAGAGTTATAATACATACACACACACACACACACACACACACACACACACACACAAACACAGATTGTATTGGGCATAGTTTCTATCCAAAGACATACTTCTGTAATTCATTATGTGTACATATATGAATATATATAATACATATATATATGATACACACACAAAACTCTTAAGTATAACATTTTCAAGAATTAAAAATTCAACCTTAATGCTTATTACTATCAACAGCATATGTTTTTGAAATGAGGCCAATTATCTGATGGCTTTTTATAAACTATGCCTGATAAACAATTTCTGCTGACTAAATGGAAACCAAAAGCAGTAGTTCCCTCTGGACCATAATTTCCAAGCTGGTATAATTGAATGTTACAGTCAAATAATAACAATAAAACAAGCCATTTCAACTTATTTGTCTTAGCTTAATGAGTCTATCTTATAACTATTAAAATTGCAACTTTATCATCAGAGAAGAAAACATAAAGAAATTTTTACAGTTACCTTTCACATGTTAAGTGCCCATTGTTCAGAGGTCTGTTGACACTTAGTGATTTTGTACAGTGTTATATAAATTACCACTTCCTGTTTTGCTCTTAGACATGGATTTCCTGTCTCCTACATATAATGTCCTACATAAACACTTTTTCCATCTGTCTCTCAAGCTGCTACTGCTAAATTTCACATTATTGCATATAATAAATAAATAACATGAAACACAAATTCTATTAAAATTTATCTTGCAGAAGTCTTTTTGTACTTTGTATAATATGTAGATACAAAAGGAACAGTTTTAAAATGATTTCTCCAGAGCTATTCTACTTTATATATAAAATAATTTACTTTCCTCACTGATAGGTCAAAACAAAAGAAAACAATGGAGTCCTGATTTTTTTATATCAGTTTGTGTATCGGAGAATTGCAGCAGTACCTGTACTATAAAATGTTTCAAACATTTGCATTCTAAAATTTAATCAAGTATGAATATATTCTGAGATCAAATGAATATAGATGTCCCCTCTTTTGATTCTTATGGGACTTTAATATAAGATCTAGTCATAGCTTTTAAATAAAAGTAAAACAAAAGAATAAACATTTTTTGTACAATTATTGTAAGTTTTATTTTTGGAACTATATATGACCTTTGGGTTTCTATACCTCTTACAAACATGATTTCATTAACACGCTGTTTCCCAGATTTAAAAAAAAAAAAATATGTCCTTCACCTTTTTTTTTTTTTTATTCATTTTTTTGTTGTAACACAGATTCTGGCCTACTGACTGATCTAGAACAACCATATAATCCTGAGTGGCATCAAACTGAGAGGAACTTGCAATACTAGACTGACAAATGCTCTGGTTCAGTTCTAAGCTTCTTTGTCTATGATCTGTGGAAGCTATATAAGGAAGAGGGAAAAATGTCAGAGAATTGAAATATTGTCAGACGGAATACAACTTGAAACATGTTGGTGCAGAGAATGTGAGGTTAAGAGGTAGTAGCCTGAATGAGACACATCTATTATAATAGCACTTTCAATTTATCTGCTCCCTGACTGCCAGGAGACTACGGAGACCAGTAAATTGTTGGACAATAACTGTGGCCTCTTTCTCCTTCACATTCTGCTAGACAGCTTTCCTGAGGCCTTCTGCTTTCACTGGATTCATACAACAGAGGCATGTCTATGATTAGTTATGTTAGAATGGAATTATGTTACAAGTGGGGATACCAGTCCACATTTGGCTTACAAATATAAAATTCCTCTCACCATCTCCCAAATTCTTTCACCTTCCTCACTTGCTGAGAACATGCAAAGAGTCTAGAAGTTCAACCCAAGATCTGCATAAGGGCTTAATCTCTGAAGCAAACTCTGTGAGGTAGAGTTTCCCAAAGGCCATCCAGCCTTAACTTCCCTGGGGAATGAAAAACACAATCTCTGACTGCATTGTCACTGAGATATTGGAGGTGTTCTTTTGCAGTCTTTAATCAGACTTCACATGACTAACACAAACACATTTTATTTATTAGTTGTCATTTCATACTGCTGAGAGATACTGTACAGTACAACAGAGCAGTTTCCTGTCTATAAAAAGTGCACTTAAATGTTTTACCACTTAGACCTGAATCTGGACTGTGATCTTCACTTGAGTTTCACATAAGTCGCATATCTTTCTTTGACCATATTGCAATAAATTATTTATCTCAGGAAAATAATAGGTATAATAAAACATTTATTTGAATTGCAGAATTAATATCTAGTTATCTGTATTGTTATGCAATTATGTTGAAATATATACATGTTATATATTATTATTCAATTAACTTCTGATAAAATATATCATAGCTGAAAATTTAATATGTTTTTTTGATACTTCATTTGGGAAAGATTTAGAGATATCCCTCTGCCTGTATTACTAAAAGAAAGTTCCTTCTGTTCTTTCCTTAAGTTTTCCTTTTACAATGTTGAGTTCTGAGTAGATTCTTTTCTTTATATTCACATGCAATCCAACCTGGACTGAGATGTTTTCTTCTTATAAAAGAACTTCATAATTTTTGGAGAAATTATGTGTTGGTGTTGGTTAAAGTTGGTTACAGAATTTATTTTAAACACGTGCTGCTTGGCATGTCAATTTTTTTCATATAATCTTAAAAAAAACTTGAGTGTATGCACTACCTCTGATACATTAACTGTGAAGGATCTGAGAATTTACTCACCTTACAAGGTACAGTTTCAAAGATTTTGCAAAAAAAAAAAATAAGACTACTGGGTGAGACAAAGTAGCTGACCCCTCTCAGCTATAATATTAGGCAATGCATCAGTGTTCCATTCTGTGAATACCCAAGTGCCACTTCTCACAGATAACATAACACAGCCGAGTGAAAACTGCACTTGCAGGAGAATAAACCTGATTTTAGGGAACTCATATGTAATAAGTATGCCTGCTCTTAGCTCCAGCAGGAGACACTATGGATATCTCCCATAGTGTCATTATAAAAACAGTGTTGAGAAAATTGAGAACAAAGGAAGTTGGTGTCTCCACTCGTAAAATGTGCAAAAACATGAGAGACCAATGGGGAATTGGCTCTGAACTCTACCAAACAGTCTCTATATCCATAGATGTCTCTATGTCTGTATTCCTTATCTATACATTATGTTCATCTCCTTTTGTTCTATCCTTGTTAATGCAATCAGAAAGTGATTTCATTCCACTTAACTAAAAAGAGTAATATCTAGATTGCAATCTGAGCTGAAATCTGAGCTGAGTCAAAATGTTTTGACACTTGTTGATGTCATTCTTCCACCACTTCTTCTCTGCCTACTTTCCAGGCTGTTCATGGTGTGAATATTTAACCACATACACTCTGTGCCCACTCTTACATGTGATGTAAGCCACAAAACACATGATCTTGGTCCTAGCCCTTAAGGCATGTAAATTACTGTGGCTGCAACAAGACATGATATATACAAGCAAAAATAACAAAATGTTAGGGAACTGAATGTGAGCAGAGTTGAATGACAAGAAATTATTGAGTGTTGCTTAAAGTTGGTTACAGAATTTATTTTAAACACATGTGCTATTTGGCATGCTATTTTTTTTCAATATTAGGACTATGTAAATATTAGGACTATATGAAATCCCTTATTTCAGGCAAAAACTGTTTATAAAGATATTGAATCTTCCTAAAGAAGTTATTTGAATAGATATTTTGATTTATTTGAACAGAAGGGGTCATCTTTAGATGTCAAGATCAGTTAAATCTGTTAATTTTGTCTAAAAATCACCTTAAATCAGCACTGTATGACATCAGTAATTATGAATCTTGCATGCAATTTTAAAAATTCTAGTATCCACATTAAAAATAAAAATAGGTGAAATTGATTTTAATACATTTAGGTCAATATATACAAAATCATATTCATATTATAGTTACTATAATTCATATTATAGTTGTTTGTTTGTTGTAATTCTTCAGTTTCAGTGTGTATTTTGCAAAGATGGCAAATCTCAACTTGGGCAATTTAAGTGCTCCATAGCTACTGTGGCTGATGCCTAAGGTGTTGGGCAGTATGCAAAATTAAGTCCACTTTAATTGTTTCAGCAAACTTACCAAATAGCTATTAAGTTAAAATTACACCATGCCAATATGCCCACTAGGAATGTACTTAAACTTTTTGAGTTTTATTTTTCCATTATAGCAGATGATATAGTGGCAAGAATAATGGATAGAGTCTAAGGTCATATAGTAGTGGTAGGATCTGGAGTGAGTCACATAGACTGCTGGATATTTTTCCTTCATATGCAGAAGAAAGGCTTTGCTTTTGTGATTTACAAAGTGGTTTTTGTTCTAAAATTCTGTCAGTAAAATATATAAAGAGTAAATAAATAGATGGGGAAGTGTCTAAAATGCCAATTAGAAAAATACATAACCATAACATTGGAAAGACAAAGACTGTACACAATATAACTATATAACATATAATTAATTTCATGTAAAGTATTGGAGTAATTTGAGGGAAAATATTTTTAAAAATTATAGGGATAAACTCACATTTAAATTTGAGGGTTACAATGTGTTTCTTAGTCATATACCATTAAAAATTCTGTTGAGTCATTACATATAATTCAGAAGTACTTTTTTTTTTTCTTTTAAAAAAGAAAATTCAGGTACAATGAAATAAGTAAAATATAGTAGAGAAAAAGGATGTATTAAATGTGGGCAGTCTTCCCAGACACATACATTAACCTGTCTGGCTGAAAGTATTTGTTAATTCATTTAGCCCAAAACATTGTCTTGAAAACTCACAGCTGGTTGCAAATCCAATCTTTTACAAAGCTATATACCTGCAGGCAGCTCAAGAAATATTCAAGTTCAACTTCTACTGCAATGGGAAGTTAATCATTAAGTTAACTTCCTGATTTTGTACAATGGAGTCATCATTAAATTTAACATTTTTCCCCTGCCCAAACAATATTGATAAAATGGTTACAGTGTACAGTAATATTTGCTTTGTAATCACTGAGTCTACATTCCTTTGCTGATAAGCCACTGTATTTAATTTCAGATTTTGGAAAGTTTACCATTTCCTTAATTTTTATCACTCTATTTATAAATATGCAGTAGAATCTGGCATGTTCTGCACTTAATTAACCATAAACAATGCATTGCCAAGGTACACCCTGTGACATATTTGAAGACAAATCTCCTTGAGTCAGAACTGTACACCCATCCATTAAATAAAAATACTTGTATTTTATATGTAATGTGTAAAAGGAAAAAATCCCTGGGAAACTATTTTGTGACCTGTTTTATACCTAAAATCACCTTGAGCTCATTTCATGTCAAGTGAAAATTTGGCACTTAAAGTGCCAAATACAAATCAATTCTTTGACCTTAATAGTTACTCAGTACTTTGTATTCAAGGAGGTTTATGTAGTTATTAATACCTTTATTTGCATTGATGTAAACATTCAGAACAAAATAAGACCAACCTTGATAAATTGATTACCATTTAGGATTATTTATTTAGAAGCCTTT